ACACACGCACACACGCACACAAGCACACATGCACACATGCACAATGCATAGCTTGTAAGGTGGCTGGTCTTACCAGATTCGGTCACTGTGCGCGCAGACAAATACGTAGTGCTCACGCAACCCCATTGGCACCACGCCTTTGGGCTGCAGAAGGTTGCCGGTGCCTACCTTGGTAGCACGAACTGCTTGCATGATTTTTTGTTGCAGTGTTTGGATGTACGAAGCGTCGAATACCAAACACAACCCCACCACTTCAGTGCTGAAGGTCCAGATCTTCGCGCATCAGAGGTCGTCGAGCCAGTGTTCTGCCGCCCATCTTGCTGAAACATGGTGATGTCGGTGGAACTGCCATGATCGGAGCGAAATATCCTTGGCATGTAAAAAGTTCGGCGCATGTGTCTCTGCATCTATGGAAAGGTCTGCCACCACCGGTGGGGGGCAGTCGGACGCATCTGACGCAGGCAGCCGTCTAGCAGATGCTGCCAACACCGTCCGCAGGGGACCCGTGCCAGATTTGCCGGACATTGACAGACATGGTGAGCCAATGTAAGCGCGGTTCTGATCATGTAAAGGAAGCACTTTCAGCTCATGCCGAAACATGGAAAGTGCACGGACGGTGGCACACACGCTTGGCACTCTTCTTGACAGACAAGGCACCATAGGATGTAGCCGAAGAGGACGCTGGTGAACAAGGCATTGCCGAGCCAGTCGTTGCCTAGCAAACCATAAGCAGTTCGAACCCGCATCGCCACATTGTTGAGTCGAGTATAGTCGAGTATTTCGTCACCAAGAACTGCGGCAAGATTGGGAAGATTCGCTTCCAGGCCAGTTCAGACGCTCAAGAACAAGGGCACGCAGCAGCCCGATGTGCAACAGATTGCAACGGTACCAGACTCGCTCCCGAGGATGAAAATGATGAAAGCTCGAGTTAAGACCTGATAATCATCCTGGTAAGCCGCATGCCAGGTGGCATCGCTTGAGTAGCCAGCGGCCCCCAAGCTCATACTGCCGTAGAGGCGGGAGCCAGGGGGTGATTTCAACATAGTTCAACAAGCTTACTATCTTATTATCTGCGCGAATCGATCGAAAAGCTGGGGGCAACGCTACAGGAACCGCAGGGATCGGCCTTAGAGACTGTTTACATGCTGAATGTTTGCGCATTGACGCACATGTGTTGCTACTCCATTTCGTTTACAGAGCCAGGATGCTCCGCAATTTGACGTGCAAAATCAATAAGGCTGGTGCCTGCGAGCACATCTGCACAAGGCAAGATGCAGTGCATCCCTCGGAGTCTGGCATGACTTGCAAGCAAGCAGCGGCTATATCTCAAAGGCACGTCACCACCCGGAAAGAGATCCACGGCTCGATTTGCCCTGATCCTTGAATCGAGAAGGCACGGGCCAAAGCCAAGTCAGAGTCTCACGACGAGCCACAATCACCTCCTTGTTGCAGCTGCGCGTCCATTCCATGATGGGGCTCGCATTTGATGTGGCCTCTGCCGCCGAAGTCTGGAATTCCATCGGCAGCTACATGTGACCCCCACGCGTCTTTGGACAAAGACATTGGGATCGCAGCGTGAGAAGCACTCTGCTGTGAACCGGCAACGGAAATGGAACAAAGCAGGGTAAACACAATGGATTGCAAATGTCGAAGGCAGCATGAGATGCACCACATGCACAGTATGCATGGAGTTGGAACAGCCTTCTTCGAGCCATCTCTGAAGAAGAACCTGAAGTTAGGCAGTTCGGAATGCTTTCCAGGCTATGAAAAGTGGTCTGCCCAAGCTACAGCATTTAAGATCTGCCCAAGAAGCTGTATCATCTCAACTTTGAACTTGCTCACAAGTGCCCGAATCCTGGCAGAACTGATGACTGCAATCAGGCGCCACGTGGCTTGTGAACGACCTTGTCAGCACCGGGCGCTGGGAGGAAGTGACCTAAGCTGGCGATTCGCAGAGTTCTGCAGGAACACATGTAACTCAGGCACAAGCGAGGGCGGTTTCCTCGCAGGAAAAGCCCGACTTGATGCGACTCGTGAAATTTTGTTGACTGAACTTCGCGACGAGATGGCCTCTGGCACCTCCGACTCACCCAAAGCGCTCCGAACCTGCGAACGCAATTCAGCCCTTTGTAGCTCTCCAAGGTACCCCCAGCTCCAACCCTGGAGCCTCCTGGCTCAGGCAGCGAGAAAGTTTGGCCTTGATCTCATCAGCAGCCTGAGGGAGGATGGGTGGGACGGAGGCAGGGAGGGAAGAGAACAAATAAACCCGAAACAAGTCACAGCGTCACACAGCTTGTCGTGGCGGCTGCAAGGGTGGTTGCCCACCCACTTCGAAGAAGCGCGGTTGCTGGATGTTTCGGAATAGAAGCTCTGGATTTGGAGGTCCTGACGATAGTAAACTCAACTTTCGACGGCCACCTTTAATTCCTCCACTTGGAAAGCAAATTTGGCACCAGTCGCAAAACAAACATACAGTAACTGCAAGAGTCACGGTCGACAGTCAGAAAAGACCTGTGAACCACTCCATGAAAATGCATCGTTTTCGCCAGAATGTACCCTGCCAAGTTCGGCGAAGCATGCAGCACCATTTACTCTGCAAGCTGCAAGGGGGAAGTGAGCCGAATCGAAGTGTCAACGAATCGGATTAGAACTGGACTCGAGTACTGCGCATAGATACACGCGCAACCGGAACCGTGGCACCGACTCGATTAGTGGGCTTGGGCACGGGAAGATTGCCTTCCGTCTCACGCAGACTGGCAACATGCCTCGTGCCCGGAAGGCTGGTGTACGGTGTACCCCATGGCAGCACTATAGCTTGCTTTGCAAATGATGACTTCGCTGCCAACTTTGACGGTGTGAGGTGCTTTGGCACAAAGTAGCTTGGAAAATGAAAGCTGGGGTCAAGCCTTAGCCACATTTTCTGGGGTTCAAGGCAAGCAACCCCCAGTGTCACCTAGCACCCTAGTCTCGATTCGCTGCTGGTCCTTGTCGAATTGCTATTTTTGTCAAAATTTTGCCTGCCTGACTATACCCCTGACACTAGAGGCCTAGAAGCATGAGCAACTTATCCGGAGGGTTGGACCAGTCGACTGGCACGATCGCGTTGGTCGGCATGATATGTAGCGCACTTGAATTTAACCTGTAACCTGAAGCAACCTGCAACCCAGCAAAAACGCAGAAAGTGCGAAAGCTGCATAATTTAACAAACAAGCTGGTGTGGGTGTGTTCGGGATGGGAAGTACTGGCACTGGAATGATTGGATTAGTTAACTGGGCTGAAGGAATTGAACAATTTGTATTCACGGCAGGCTCGTGTCACAGCTGCTGGTCGCTGTGAGTTCTCGGTTTGCTGGTACTGCCAAACCGAAAAGCCACGACAACTCTGCCACTTTACTGAAAAAGGCTGCTTACAGCCCAGTCATGGTCACTCATGGTGGTGGTTGCGGCAGCAAAATGCCTGGGCGGAGGGTCGCAGTTCGGAAACTGTGGGGTGCTGACTCGGAGCGAGTGGCAAAAACCGGCCGTGTCGGTCTCAGATAAGAGACAAAGATCTGGGCTGCCGGTACTGGTATCTGCCACGTGTGGGCTCGGAACAGAGCGTGATGTTGATACTAAAGCTAAGCTCTGTTTGTTAACTGTACTGTATCGACACCCGCATCTGTACTAAAAGTAATTGCATAAACATACAGTGCATGTCGACGTGTCCCTCACCACGCGCCAGCCACGGAACGCTGCAGGGTCTGAAACAGCTCAGGGCGAAACACAACCAGCTTTGCTTGCTTGCAGGATGGCCTCGCATCCGCAAGACTTTCCAACCAAGGTAGCAAACATGACCATTCGCATCGGCTCCGTTGCCAACCTCATCTAATAGTGCCTTTGCAGGTCCTTTCTCCTGGCGCATACAAGGGTCATGTACATTACGTTGGTCTCCCACGAGGCAGCTTTCTGTCGATTCTTCCTCTTCGCCCAACTGCTTTGAGTACCTGCGCGTCATGAGCACACTTGTTCACATCGCAACGGTTGATAAATAGACTACGAACCTGTTGCCTCACCCGCACTTCATGAACGCAAAGCGTGTACGTGAGTTCTGCAACTCCTGGTGCTAAATCGAAGGATCACATAAAAGGATATATAAGGATATAAAAGGTTTTGTTTCAGACAGCCACCGCGCAAACGTGGTTGATGGCACTCGTTTCGGGGCTCGTGAAGGCAACATCGCCATGGCGGCGTGGCAAATGTCTTGTCTTGTCCTCTTGTCGCTTCTTGAATTCTTGAACTTGTTCTGACTGGGAGTGTCACCGACTTCTACCCGAGACTGAGACTGGTTCATACACCGACCCGACGTACTGGTGAACAGGTGTCGCAGACTGTCCCGCGCAAGCACCATGTCAGGCATGGGCTACAAGTTTCTCAAGACCCCGTTTAATACAGAAAACCTTCTATCTCAATTAAACTCGTTAACCCGAAACAAGCTCGGGCTTGGAGGCTTCGGGTGATCATCACGATCAGCACCCTTGTGATTCATGGCACTTCGGACGAACAACCGTGAAGCTGCCGATTCGTTGACCATCTCCTGGTTCTCCTTTTCTTCCCCACATCCAACTGCAGATCCGAATACCCGCTGCTGTTCCATTCCGGAGCGCAGGCTATGGACCCCGCACTGTAATCCCTCGACAAGGCCTAGCGGCCTAGCATGAAGAAGTTCAGATGCAAGCACATGAGTTTGACAATGATTAGGCTGTAGGAGGCCGGCCCTATAAAGTTTACTGTACGGGCTAAGGAAAACGGTGCTGAGGGTAGGCGTTGTGCCGATTGAACTGTGTTTAGATTGCCTTTATTTGAATCACGTTCAGGTCGGCTGACGTCACTGTTCCTAGCAAGATCGCTGTATGTCGACGCTATATGCAAAGAGTCACTGGAGAAGCTCCAAATCCACGACCTTGCCTCATGTTGGGGAGCCTGTAGACAAGCTGGGACAGGGCGAAGACAACCGCAACATACCGCAACGACAAGGATCCCCCTTTTGCTCAGGCCATGGATCTCTAGCTAGCATCTGAAATGCTTGGTCTCTGTCATTGCTGGCGCACCGCTCCAGAAAGGCCATCACCCGCTCAAGCTCCGCATCGCAGCTCCCTGCGTCCCGAAAGCCCCCACAAAGCAAACCTGGACAAGCACTATCCGAGCACGAGCAAAGGCCTCGCATCCGCCGTTCGGTGCAATCCTGTCAAATCTTGGGACCAACCAGGACCTCTTCTACTCCACATATCGCGAAACCGCGAAGGCTTAGCTCAAGACGAGAACATGTGCAACGGCTGCCTGCAGCCAGAAGTCCAAGTTCTCGCGAAACACCCCAAACCGGATGCGATTCTAGAACCGTAGTTCCAGAACGACTGACCAAATTCTCAGCATGCCGTACAATAGCATACAACTTATGAGCAAATCTCTCCAGAGGAGCAGCACGCTTTGGTCTGTTTGTCTACAGGCGGAGGTTGAAACTGGCACACTCACATTGGACATGATTTCGAGGCAATGAAATCTCCGCATTGGAAAGGCGAAGCATGGCGGAGCTGCCGCAAGCCTTGGCCGTGCTCAGATGGCTGCGAATCCCGCAAGCAGCTAGCGCCGCATGAAGCTCCTCATGCTCCACAAAACACGTCTACTCTAAGAGACAGCGTAATTCCGTTTCTTCCCGAGTCCGGCAAGTCCTCGCGTAGTTCCACGGCCTCCTCTCCTGCCTTGGCCTCACAGTCTGGTTCGACATTTACGCGATTTGCTACTTGCGACTTGCTTTACATGTACGATGTACTGGACAACTGCATCGCCATGGCAACATTCTCCATTCAGGGATCCACAGGAAGCTAAAGAGTTTAGTTATTGCTGGACGCTGGACAGAGCTGCCCACAAAACATCAGGTGAACGACAGGGGCTTTGTTGGACTGTAGAGATCTTCGGAGCACTGAGCCCTGCCTTCTAAAACCACACCCTCTCTGAAATTAATGGTGTTCCAAAACGATACAGGCCCAGATCGTCTGCCGCTAGAGCTTGACACAAAAAGACAGAAGAACTTGTGGCGGTCACCTCGAAAAGGGAATTGTGATGGAAGGTGATCTTGCTGATGTGATCCCACAGACACTCCTGGCAGCAGCCCAGCTGAGGAGCATTCTACACATTCGTTTTAAGAACTGCTACCCATCGGAACCGCGCAACTGTTTGGATCCGTTCAGCATACGTCTCTGACAGAAGCTCTTTGCAGAATTCAATCCGAGGTGTGATGCCTTCCTCTTCTAGCACACTGGCAATCATGCCTTGAGAGGGTTGCTACGCTCCGATTTTCCGAATTTTTGTAGTGCACCCAGAACCGACATGAATCACAGTGGTAGCATGCGGTAGCCAACGGTCCCTGGACATGTGTCGCGGATCTTGGACACGTTGTCGGACTCCCAGCCTGAGCTTCAAAACTGGACGGGCGCCAGATACGGGTACAGCAGACCCGAAAAACACAACTCTGCCAGCACAGCAAAGACTCTGCACACATGGGTACCCGAAGCAATCTGGCTCACGAAACCTGCAGCCAAGATGGAATGCCACGTTTAAGAGATCAGAGATCCCAAACCAAGTGCCTGTTTCGAAGCCAAAGTATGTCTAGCGAACGCTCCGCGCAAGCCAGGCCGTGGCAAAGATCTGCCAGCGTATCGAAATGGAGGTGCAAACGTGAAGCCTTCAGAGCCATCTCCATCAATAAGCACAGCAAAGCGCAGCACTGATTTTGCACAACGCAAGGCCGTGGCCCACAGGTCGTGTGCGGCGGTGTCCTCATCAGAAAGGCTGGAAGGTCGCGTCGCAGACACGCCGCCTACTCCGCCTAGAACACCTCGAAGGCGCTCAGACTCAGAGCTCTCCTGGAGCTCGTAAGCTCTTTGTGACAGCAGAACCTCCTCGACAATCTGCTCACGCTTCTTGATGCCTGCAGGCTGCAGGACGCGGTGTGCCCGCATTCCGCAAGAGAGCACACGCCTTCGCCCCCCGGCCTGGATCAAAATGAAGAGCATTGGGAATGAGCGACTCTGGGCCAGACTGCCATGCCCGGCATGGGTGCCGTGACACGACCTGGCCATTCAGATATATTTGGATGTCCGATATTCCACATCATTCCACAGCCAACGTGCAAGCAGGCATGAATGGCCTCTCCAAAAGCATTCTTCGCCCAGGTTGTGCCTACAAGTAGCAGGTACAGTAAGTACCACTTTATCCACGGGGCATTGATCTGACAACCATGCCTGGGGCGAGGAAGTCCTTCAGACTCCGCGTATCCTATCCTATCCTACCACAAGGATCTGGGCGATGCGATCCGGTCTCCTTGAGCTGAGAGTGCGCTGCTTGACTGATGGCAAGCAAGCCAGAAAGCTCCCGCACCTGAGAAAACCGTTGTCTTCATCTCGTCGGGTGTGTGACCAGTCTGAAGACGCCGCCCCGTGCCAGGTGGTGTCTTTCAAGATTTGCGGCTCCTCGGCAACGAGGTGCCCACCTGCAAGTCGCTTGGCGAAGCGGCCAGGGGCTAGCGGCTACTGGTAGCAGTCTGTCGTGCGCAGAGCAAACAAAGCTCGGGTTTACAGCCCGGATCTGCTCTTGCTCGCACGTGAGTCGTTCTCTGGCGAATTCCGGGATCCCAGCCGTGGAGGCACAAGTTCGGCCTCGAGTACATGGGAAGCACAAGATTCAAGTGGCCCCCAGCGTCAAGAATCAGGAGGCTGCAGTCCCCTGCCTGAGAAGCAAGTTCGCAAGCTCGTCTGGCTCCTCTTTGTGAAGCGTATCCAAAACAGGCCTTCAAGGCCACTGCTTCGGATTGCTTCGCACATTCTTTGAATCACTGTTGCCCATGCATACTTGCCACTCAAGACAGGGCGCCTGTAGACCCTCGATGACTTCAAAGCCGCCTACGGGCATCGGGCAGACTTGTCATCATCTATGTACACGCTTAAGCGCATGCATACACATCTGCCGTATGCTGACCAACGTCGTGCATTCGCACACTTTTGCATCATGATAGTCTTCTGGCCTGGATCACGGCATCCACTCTTCTCGGGAGGATGACTGTTTTGGGGATGGCCATGCGAAGGCTGTTGACCAGCCTTTCCTTGGATGGCCTGCATCAGAGCCGCTTTGACACGTTCACCAGTGCTATCATGACGCCTGTGGGACAGCAGTGACCAACACATTCCGGCCTGATTTCCACCTTCAGCGTGCCTGGGATATCAAGAGAAAGAGAATTCATGAATATTGCTAAACTTAGTTTCCCAAACCCTGCATTCATTAGATGTGTGCGTCGGCTGCAGCCAGACCACTGATTTGGGCACTGACAGCACGAAGAACGTGCAGCAGGCCTACTGATTCGGGCCTCTGCGCCTGCCAGTTTGCTTACCATGGTGCATACAATTCGGGTCGACGCAGGTAACCTGTTGCGCCTCTTCAGTGAAGAGGGCTCTCTCTAGAAGTCGCACGACAGCACATGGTGACCTGAGCTTCAATGCCAAAGGCTTGGACCAAACGGTGTCCCCGAGATTCCTAAAAGCGAGGCACGATGATGATGGAATTCCGATGTCGCATAGCAGCTCGCGTTGTCCATCCTGCAGCGTGGCGTCGCAATCACCGTCTTTAACTGGGGCGCTGGGGTTGGCGTCAATTGCCGCCTTGAACGAGTTGACCTTGAGCACCCTGATTCGGCCTGTCCATCGTCCAATGTCAAGTGTGCATCTGCCGCAGACGCTCGTGCTTGTCAAATTCACCATGTCCCAGCTTTGCCCAAGTATCTCGACTTGCAAACGTGGGCCCGCGAGCCCCCGGTTACGCCAGTTTGTTAGACTACACAGCAAAATCTCCAGGCTTTAATGGCTAGTATAGTGATTCTGGTAAGTGCCACCTGCTGCCTGTTCTGATGAAAGCTCTTGGAGAATGGGCCAAATTGAAACGGTTCTCCCCGACAGCCTCCAGGAACTCATGCAGCCCAAATCTGAGACCGCTACCGGTCTGGACCCCACATGCCGAGAGCAGTCGCTGTAAAGCAGTTGCCACCTGCAGTACAGTTCCACTTGCACCGCCCTGGCTGTGCGAATATCCATAGCTCTACGAACACCGCGATCTGTGCTGAGGTCATCACCCGCAGGCCAAGTGAAGAAGAAGTGGACTTGGGCATGGCCTGCTTCAAGGAAGATCCAGGTGTAACAGCGAATAACTACGACAAGGTTCAAGGGCCCGTGGTACCAGCCACCAACACAGCCTGATATGAGTCTGCTGCTCACGTGGTTGCTATTGGTTGCTTGTGGCTGACATGCTGTCTTCTGACTGCTCAGGCTGAAGTAACACGTGCAGTAGGTGTGCAGTGGCTCAGTTGAGTGGAGGGCCCAGCAGCAACAACTCCGGGGCATTTACATGCTGGATGCTCGGCAGTTGCAGGGCACAGGTTCCCAGTCCGCTGCCTGCAAGTTGGCCAGAATGACCTGCACATCCAAAACGTCGTCTTGGACTGCAAAAAAGGCAGGCTGCCTCGTCGACCAGAGTTGTCTGGGGTGCAAGACGCCCACCTGAACTCCGGAAATCTCCAGAACAGAACTGATAGGTCGACTTCCTGCACTCTGCAGATCTCTGCTGCACCTGCGAGAGCTGCTCGTGCTCGTGCCAGTCGTGCTCGCAAATGTATGCGAGTTGCTGGCAGCTCCTGGTCGAAGATTTCGTGCAGGATGATACTAGTAGGTCGACGTGTCTAACTTGCGGTGAGCACTTTGAGTAACGTGGCGGGATGTAAAGACCGGACCTGCATGGCAGCACCGTTCGCTCGCAGCAAGTCCCGGCTGTGGATCATAGCCTGAAGCCGGCAACGGCAACGAATCGAGGCTTACTTGTGTGACATGCTGTTCTGTACAGGCTGCATCAGGTAGCTGTGCGCTACACCCCTGAATGATCCTGAATGTCCGCATGCCTGAATGCTTTGTGCCCACGGCCCACGGAACCTTCTTAAGCTGACAGCGCAGTAGCGTCCTAAAAACCTGCGGCACTTTCTTTCTTCGCTTTGTTCCAGTATTCAACCCACAGCGCACAACGCATCCTTGCGTCCTCCCGGCCTACGAATCACGTCGAATGATCAGCTTCGCATTTCCCAACCAGTCTACTGATCCCAGCAAGGTGGAGCGTGCCGACGACTGCCAAGACAACTTTCCTGTGCTTGCTGCGGCGCTGAGGGGAACAAGGATGTTGAGTGCATCAGACTCCAAACAACATGTATTTGGTCGCACACCGAAGAAGCAAAGCTGCACAAGGTTGGCCTGTTTGCTTAGTCTTTGCCTGTGATTGCCTGTGCACATTAGTTTCAACTTAAAGTAGCTGCAAGAAGCGTCAACCTGCAATGGAACATCTGCTATTTTGGCAAGTGTCTGTCGTCCACCATATTTGTTGCATGTATCGGCGATACATTTGGCAATGTGGACATCTCTGTCTGTGAGAATCGCACGCAGCTGCACACGCCAAACCGCCAGGATTGCCAACGCGAGACTGGGCAAGACTACCCAATTCAGCCAGCCAGGTTGAGTGGAGACAGGCGCAGGATTTGCAAAGTGGATGTCCAGCGGTCTCGCAGGCACAAACAACGTGAATGCGGGAATCAACAGCCCCATCAGCAAGAGTCCCGCAGTGATTGAAAAGGGAGCCTCCATGACAAGGACCAGCAAGTTACGGATGACAGCGATGGGTGTCATCGCGAGAAGCAGCAGTGGCGCCACAATGCTGCCAAGCGTAACTGCACTTGACACGCCTAGTTGACTTTCCAGCTGCTTTGGACTTGACAACAGTGTTGTGCAACAGTTCACGACATCGTACCAGATTTTCGTCCATCCGCTGATGCTGCCAGCATCTGCCAGCGTTGCAATCGCAACGTCTCTCAGTACCGCGTCCAACTCCTCGTCGGACAAATCGCCAAAGACGATGGGAACAGCACCCTGTCCGGCAGCCCTTGTTCTTGGAAACGACACTACAGTGCATTAGTCAGTTGCAGAACTCAACTAGGCAAAACGATTGAAACTTGCTTAATCTGCACAGCTCAAAGCACTCTGCCACGGCCTGCATTTCGTTGTCTAGTAGGCTCCTCAGGAAAGAGCCACCAGGGTGCAGCCTCTGCCTGAACGAAGTGGAGCAGCTGCGCAAAAAACTGAATCTGATTAAACCTAATTACCTAATGGCACTGAATTGCATGTCTTCAAGTTCGCGCTGCACACTTGTAGAGCGGTTCGAGTCTTCTTGCCATTTTCATCAGACAGGACAATGACAAGAAGGTCCAAAAGGCCCGGAGTATGGATGATGTCTGAGGCATGCGCATGCGCTGCCATCTCTCGTCGAACATTTCTAAGACAACGGCAGCAAGAGCGTTTGACTCCGTCATCTCTGTCGCAAGGCTCTTGGCACAAAACGTGGAGAAGGGATTGAAGTGCATACACCCAACCAAACACACTATGGTTCCAGAGTCGTCGTGTCGGACTACTCGTGCTTGACTCAGAGCCAGCGAATCCAGCTTGGGCAGCGCCCGTCTTGTGCAGGATCGAACATGCTGCGAAAGTCCTCTGCCGACATGATGCTGAGGGCCAGAAAAGCACAGAATGCCCGCGAAGCACACTGGCCAAATGCAGAGTCGAACACTTATCTGTCGCATACCACGCATCACACCAGTTCCAAAATCCAAGCTTGAGCCGCAAAACACTGCCGTGTTGGTAATGGCTTTGTTGTGATGTTTTTTGTTGCATGGTAGCCAGGCTAAGGCCAGGAAGCATGTCACAATCACAGTTCGCAGGGCCTGGACATCGGGCCGCGGTGGTTCTCGAAATTTCTGCAACTCCTGCTGAAAGCGAGCCACCACGGGCAGGACTTCAACACGAGTGAAACTTCGCCTCGAACTCCTCGAAGGAAATTGTTCCCTGAGGTGTGTGTGTGTGTGTGTGGTGAGATGGGAACTTACAAGCGTTTGCAGCACATTCGACACATGCGTGATAAGACAGATACAGGGTTGCAAGATGTTGCAGCAAAAATGATGCCCCGCTTCCTCAACCGCAGCCCCAAGGACGAAATCTGGTCGGATTCTCTTCATGAAGTAAAAAACCATGCGCCGATAGATCCTGCAGATAAAGACGCTAACATAGCGTAACTGGTCCGGAAAAGAGCTCTAATCTAAGAGACACGCCGATTCCCGCATGTTCTTGGGCCCCTCCGTCGGACCGTAGGTAGGATGTGCAGAAGCCGTGGGTTTGGGCATAGTGGTCTTGACGGTCTCGTTTTGCATCATTCATGATGCAATTATACCTATGAGTACTTCGTGGAGAGGATTTCGAGGATGCACTGGGACTGGCGGATGCCGGGGCGCATCTTCTTGCAGGACATTGACATGCATTTGTAGATGGTCAGTTACTGATTGCCTGCTGTGCACAAACGCACGGTCGATTTGGGGTATTGTGGTGCAGGTGAGAAATTTGATCTGCGTTGTCTTCTCCCAGCCTCGTCATCCCGGTCCAGGAAGCGGAAGATGGGTAGTGTTGGCCCAAAGTAGGAAAAGGATCTTGCCACTGTCACCCACTCCGCTTCCTCAGTGCTACGATTTCTTCGAAAATGAAGTCCCATGAAGCCTCGAAAGATTAGACGAGGTTGCGGCAGAGATGAAGTTGTCCCCGTTTACGTCGAAGACTGCCCAGGCAGCCTGGCAAAGTTGAGCACAGGATTGTGCATGCACACATGGCAAAAAGTGGTGCCGGCTGGCTCGCCAAGTAGCGTTAAGATCGTTGCCAAACGACCGGCTGCAGAAGTGGACGAACTCCTGCCCAAGGATCTAGTGAAAGTGCACCCACTACCACAGCAATGGTTGCGAACAAGGAAGGAGCAGAGCGATTGAACACAGCGAAGCCTGTATTGAGTACACCATCTCCTTGTGACAAAGCTCGAGTATACCTTCGCGCGAAGATTAGTAAACCGCAGCGGCCACATTCAGAATGAAGGACAACCCCTCTAGCAAACCGTAACGTCGTCCAAGGCACCCCATTCACTGCGAGTGACTTGGCCCTCACCACTCGGATCCAAGTAGCCTCTGCAATGTGCAATGGTTCCCTACGCCTCTTCTGACATGCAGGCAGGATGGAATCATCCCGCCCAGAATTACTGCAGGCAAGGTGCGGAAAATGCCTGACGCACAAGCTGTTGGGAATTATAGAGCTGAAGTGTAACCCTTGGCGTGCTTAACCCCCGAAGCCGCAAATCTGAATGAACGCGTCGATTTCGACTGCTCTACGCATTTGTTCAGAGAGGGCTTCAACCAAAGCACCTCAGTGCTCTATGCGCCGCTAGAGTCAGGCATTGTCAAGCCCAGGCCGAGTTGACCTGCTTAGTGCGCTTCGTTTGTTTATTTTTCTGGCGAGACGGCCCCGCCAGTAGCATGTTCTTTGCAAGACTCTCTGACCTTCCCCTGCTCAGCTTCAACATCAGCGCAGGCGTCACGGGGCAGTGCCTGTGATCTTGTCGCCTTCACGCCGGCCTTTGAACTTCTTGCACTTCACCCTCCTGGCTCTCATGTCTTTCCAATCTTCGCATAGCACCCCGGGAAATTTTCTAGCAGTGTAGTGCAGTGTACACACAACATGAGCGGCCTCCGTGAGATAAACCTAAGAGCAGCAACAAACGAGCTCGGGTGGAGGCTTGCCTGAGGCCCTCCTCAAAATCTCGGTGGTTCAAGACCTGTGCATTCCTCAGGGACTTCTGGGGCGTTGAGACGACCCGCAACTGCCAAAACTTAGGTTGCAACTTGCTCTTGATGTCATCGAAAGCCTATCACGCAGCGGCAAATACTTGCTCGTTCTGAAAGGCACTCTCTCCAAGATCCAGAAGGTCTGGGGGCAGGTGAGGAAGAATCCGCGATGAGAATCAATTTTGCAAGATGGCTTTCCGTGATTCATCGGTGCTGACCGAATCTGCATGTCCCGGCCGGCACCCAAGGGCAGGAATTCGAACAGGCTGGGTGGAAGCTGTGGCAGCCCCCTCTCAGATTCGCCGCTTCGTTCGATTAGAGCCCCGTTTCCAAATCTGTAGGCTTCACCGAGATCGGATGCTGCGTCCATCTTGGCAGCCAACACCAGTCTTGATCTTGCTGCTGATTGTTGGCACCCTAAAGTGTGGGGCAAAGAGCCGATTTCTTCATTCTGAAATGACTTTCTCCACAGAATGACAAAACTCTGTTGTCACACACCTTAGCAGAACCAGGCGGGTCTTGGCGGGTCTTTACATAACCATGCGGTCTGCCACCCCTGTGTCTTCCTCAAAAGGTTCTGTGACTTGTGGTCTGAATAAATGAAATTGTGCCTAGGGATGGTTGAGCGCTGGTGTGGCAGAGCAGTGCAGTCGCGCATCTACAATGGCCTCTTGTCCTGACATGGCTCCTCCAACTGTAAGGAACGTCTGCGAGGATGGTGTTTTTCTTGGGTCCGGGTTCCGGGTGCAAGATGCTTTCGATGCGAGTTCAGCCTTTCGGTTTCCAGGTCCAGGTTCCCGACAGGATTCCCAGCTCTGTCGGGGCTCGGTTGCGGTTCCCAGATTTCGGGCCTGGTCCGGGTCAGAATCCAAACGAACGGCGGACGCGAACCACGAGTCTTGTTTGGTCAGTTGCGGCTCCTTGTCTCATTTCCCACGGAAAAAAACTTGTTTCCCCATGTTGTGTCATTAATGGCTAAATGGCAACGAGCGAGACACAGAGTTAGCTGCACTTGCACACTATTATTTCCCCTGCCCCGATTCAGAAAACACACTTCCCTCGCCCGCTTCAAGGTCATCAAGGTCGCAGGGTCGTCCAATGAAGATGAACCCCTCTGTCAGGTGTCGGACCATTCGCTGCAGCCGCAACCGGACAGCCAGGCCGAGTCCCACATGCTGCGTCAAAAGGCAACGCGAGAGAGATGCGAAGCCACCCGCGCCCATGTTGACCTCCAGAGCCCCTCCAAAGGTTAAACAAAAGGCAGAAGGCAGCTTTGTCGGAATTCAATGAATCGCAGTGGCAATCCAGATCCCCCTGACTACAAGTTTTCCAGTGCTGGCCGGAACGTGCAGCCTTTGATAATCGGCAGGTTTCTGCAACATGCAACCCTTAGTTTGGGTGTTCATAAACATACGAAGCAGCGCCGTAGACTTCTGCCGGCTGCCTCTAATCATGGCTAATAAACCGGAAGTCAACACTATACTGCTCTCGTTCCCGAGAAAACTGCTACGAGCATCTCAGCTAACATGTCTGCTGCAATCAGAACAGTCAGGCAAAAACGGCCGCTCGTGAGTTTTTGTTCTCAGATGAACAGGATTGCCAGCCCGAACCAACTCCATTCCATCATGACGTGAAATGCCAGTGTATTAGCCCAGCCCAACCTCATAGACGTTGTCATACCTTTCGATGATAAACCTGGCGCCCACCGTCGGGATCTACTTACGTAAGATAGGGCCCCTATCGCTGGTTCAGCGAAGTTGCTCGAGAAATTCCATGACATCCACAGGCACTTCGTTCGTGGAGGCCCACCACAGCACCTAACGACGTCGAACTCCCGTACAGCTCGCCACTCACTATCTTGCGAAGGGTGTGCAACTTCAGATTGACCGGACGACCATGCAGCGCGATGGGCCTGCTCCATGTTCACGTCGCAAGGCCAGTTGCTGTATGTTTGCAGGAAGCTCTTCCGGACCTACAGAAAAGCTTCATGGCTTCGAGGAAGGTGCTAGGCTAAGGTTCATGGCCTTGAAGTTCCGATCCTCCGGCGCACACTTGTAGCTCATGGACACGGTACCATGTTCAGGGATCTGCGAGATTGTCTCCCAGCCTTGTCAACATCTTGAAAATGCTCTTCCCAGTACAGGTCATTAAGCATATTAAGCCAATCCTACACCGGGCTCCCTGCTGCGTGGTAGGCCCATCACCAGCCTGGTCTGAGCAAGTTCTTCGGCCATGATGTGCGCTTTCAATGGCGTACGGCTCTTAAACTGTCAGCAGCTTTGAGCCCCAGGCGGATCCACCGATCCATCACCCCGCACCCATCTTGGCTTTTGGATGTTAGTCATACGCTCCTGCAGTGGCGCACATGGACAGAAGCTGAAATGCTGGACTGGTCCGCACATGCCGTCCAACCGGCTCTCACTGGGCCAAACAGGGGCCTTCTTCGCAAGGTTGATGAGAGCACATAGCGCTGTACGCTCATCAAACCTGTCCAGCTGGAAGACAAACCTCGCCTGGCGTGCTGGCACTCTGCATGACAGGCTACGCAAACAGGGGTGGATCCAAGCAAATCGGCAAGTGCGGCCTGTTCCGGCTGAACCCACGGAAAAAAAACGAGTGAACCAAGTCGTGTACGAAGCCGGTTGACCTGGCCAAGTGGGCGGGTAGAAGCTCATAGAAACTCTCGCAGGCTTGCTTTCCTGGTGGATTTGTCTTCGCATAAAGCTTCGAGGTGCCAGAATCGGCAACCGCAGGGGGCTGATGGCATGGGATACTCAAGCTCAATCAGCGGGGCTTTCGGCAACAGTCCCACAACAACGTCCGCGGCCGATTGATTCTAGTTACTTGGAGTCCAACTGATGTTCTGGAGTCGAATGCACACCTAGTGCTTCACTCTGCAACATCTTTTGTTATGGTGATGCCGCCGATTCGATCCTTCATCTTTGCAGCATCTGGGGAACCCCTGGTTGCCTCTGCTTGGACAGAACACGCTTTCGAAACGAGTCTTGGGGATTGTCGCAGTGGGGTGACCAGGCTTCATGCCGCGACTGTCGTGGACGTCGGGTCAAAGGCCTGCTCGTCATCACCTTCGAAGCGAACTGAGAAGACCTTCTCGTTGTGCATGTCAGCAATACCTGAACCGATGCACTGTGACACTCTTGTGGTCTTTCACGGAGGAGCAGCTTTCACTGATTGCAACTAGTAGCGGTTGAAGAAAGTGATCAAGCAGTCCTCCCTGTCGCAGGGATCCTGAGCACCACAAAGAATTGGTGACTTTACTTCGAGTGATCCCCTCCTTCCAGCAGTACCATGTCAAACAAAAAACTGTGGACATCCAGCTGATGTCATACTCTCAGATTCAGCCAGGCGCAATGTGAAAGACGAAGGAATAGGAAAACACATTTAACATGCCGCTTACGCGTGTGGCACTACGTCGAACCAGGCCCAGGGAAAACTAACGATTTTGATGTGACCTCCCGACCTTATCAAACCAAAATTCCTAAACCCGTCTCTGTCTGGGTGTGTTGTATATGTGGCAAACCCTTGTTGATGACGACGACAACGATGCTGAGATGTAATGATGACGAAAGTGAATATGCCGGAAGAGCAATGCAACGAGGAAGATTACGACGATGACGACGACCGAAGTTCTGGGTGAATGCGAGGGCGATGATGACGATGTGTGTTGCAAAGACGATACCCGGCTGTTAACGTGTGCATTCAGGAGTGACATGGTATATTGCACTTGAGTACAAGTAAGATGAGATCGAAGGAGGACATGGAAGAGAAACGGCCGGCCGCGACTACATGTAGGTACCCTCACTTGACGACATGCACAGAAGCCGCTGGTTTCCAGCGTCTTTCCACGCAAGCAAGAACTGCCCTCCGAGCTCAGCTCCATAAAGCACTCCAACAGGGCCTTGCAACGGTATTCGCGGGGTCAGAGTCAGAGCCACGCGCATTCTACGATGCTTTGCCCATCTTCCTCGCAAAGCCCGCCGCTCGAGTTTGCAGCGCGGTAATGTAAATCTGGTGTGCCACCATTCGAAGCGCCTGCGCAGAGAGCGGCACATGTCGGCACTCCGGCTCAGGCACAGCTCGGCACCTGCATGTCGTCCCGCGGCAGCTTCGCCTTGGCATTCGTCGCGTCGCTCCGATGGCATGGCTCCGGTGCCCCGTGAGACGCCTGGTCGGGACCTGCACCGCTCGGGCTGCCCTTCTTCTGGAAGTTTTGATCCTTCGAGGACATTTGCGCCGTTGAATTCGTGATTCTGAGACTTGCCGTGCCAGAAAGCCAAGACAAGTGAGCTGTGCCTGTAGAGCAATGAGCATGATTCGAAAGGATTTGTCATCCAGAACTTGTGCTCCTGGACTGAAGAAGAATGGCTTGTGAAGCTGCACAGCCGTGATTTGCCGGCCTTCGGGTGGTCTCGCTGAGCTGGAGTAATCCAGTTCGAGCTTGCCGGCCTCTCAAACAACAAAATGCATGTCAAGTCCGTGTCCTGTACAAACGCACAAATCTGATTGAGCCAGTTGGCCGGCATTTGGAACATTGGATGCATCCAACAAAAGGCATTGGGCCTACGAATATGTCTGTTTTGCGACTCGATTGCCCCACACGATCAGGGGCTAGAATGGGCTTCTTCATGGCAACCCGCCTCGGGCAGCAGCCACTCTGTCATCGGTCCCTGAAACTGCGACAAGACTGGCACGAACGACGGAAAGTCATGCTTGCACGCTGCACGTAAACTCTCCTGAAGTGGGCTGCCGCGGAAGGCAATGTTCCGGACCTGTGGCACATGCCAAATTCCCGAAGCTGTCCTCATCTTTCCGCAGCTGCTCAAAACCAGTTTGCTTACCTGGGACCAGTCGCCAAACTGGGAGGTGTCGACGTGGCGATGCCGAATCCTCAGAAGTCTGAAAGATATGGTACTGTACGTATTGCTTGTACACGACAGCCGGGTCATGCGGCGTCGCTCATGTCGTTCTGAAATGTTTCTGAGTCTCGGTGCCTGATTGCAGACTCCCAGGAGTCCAGCACCACCTCTTGAACCCAACTTTCCAGATTTTGGTGCTCCGCAGAAAACAAAAACTTAGGGCAAGACCAGCGCTTCGGCAATGGAATGCTCCGCTGGATGCGACAGGTCCAGCCTCGAAAGCGTGTGTGCGGACTTTGTGATGTGATATGACGTGATGTAACAAACGGGCGTTCGAGATCAAGGCTATTGCTGGGTCATGCAATGTGTGCCGAGAAGCTTCGGCGGCAGAAAGCAAACAAACTCATTGCAACACCTCTGAACTCCTCTGTCCCCCGTCTGCTCTAACGAATTTGCCCTGGCTGCCCTGGGAGGCTCGAAAAGCCGGGCACTAGCATCAAAGCCCATGTCGCCCCGTGTCGGCGAGCCTGTAGTGTCCAGTTGGATTCTGAATGTTGAAGAACATCAGAGGCCGTGCGTGTTGAAGGATCTGCGTCACGTCGGGGATGGAGCGAGCAATCCTGCGGCGCATGTGCTAATGGGATGCATCTCTTGCAAGTCTTCCCTTCCCAAGCTTACCGAGCAAAGCTGAGCTTCACGCATAAGTATCAAACATCTCTCGGAAGCCTCGGCACATGCTGCATATGCTGCGATGTCGCTTGCGGTGCCTGAGCTTCAGCAGCAAGACCTCACAGGTAAGTTCGGCGCGCAAGCACGAAGGGCAGGGAAGAGCTTGGATACCTTGACTTTTCTCGGAACTTATGTTTCGATACAATCCGAAGAGGCCGGAGGGCAATGTAATGGTATAACCTTCCCCCCTGACCGCCCGATTGGGTTTCTTGTTTTCTACTTTCTTGTCTCATGTTTGAGCCCCCCCTCAGCATCGAGTAAGCGTGGCCGCCGGATAAGCTGGATAAGCTTGCAGCAATGGTGCTCTAGAGGCTGCGCTCGTGCGAGCGGATAGATTATGGAATTTTTTGGCCGCATGACTGGAGAGACCGAGCTGCGGACGACTTCAGCAGGAGATAAGCAGGATCTGCACATCCTTTGTTCTCAGACAGCTTTAAAAGTCGATGGGCTCAAGATTGTAGTCACGTTCACAGCTAAGTGCTCTTCCGCTCAGCGACAGCAAACGGCCTTGGATCTTCGCTCTTTGGTGCACGAACCCTGAAAAAGCCTCCAAGAACCACGCAAAACAACGTCGCGTGCAAGTGCATCGAGAAAGACGCCCTGTCGACGCTCCACTCAGGGTCTGACATGGTATGACAGGATGCGGTGAAGTGCGCTGGTCATCCCAAGATACCCCGAGCCTGATCTGGATCAACATCTGAAACGGCCCTGCGAATGGCTGAATCACAGAGATCCAGCTGTGCTGTGAGTTGATGCCCAAACTCCAGCATGAGACCCAAACTTTCCATTTCGAAGCCTCCAGGCATGAAGCAGCAACAACTGCTTGTTGTCCGACGGGCACAGCCTGGCAACGTCAACGGGCACAGAACTCCCGCATAGAATCAAGAGGCTGATCAAGCGTAGACCGAGGTAGCCTCATCAGGTCATTGCGCAGCCTTAAGAAGCCAAGGAAGTCATCCTCTTCCACCTCCCCAACCGGTTGAAGACACGGCGTCCGCGTTTTATTGAAGCCAGCGGGCTGCACACCCTGCACCTGTCCTTCAAGTGCTGATGTATGGCTTTCTCGATCTTGAAGGTGGCCTGCAACCTCAACTGAAACTAGATGCTCGACACCGGAAACTAACAAGTTCTCCGAGAAGCCTCCCCTTTCGCGGAACTGCGTAGATACCATCGGCCCCGACCTTTGCATCACGCCAAGTGCTGCCAGTGCCTCGACAAAAGACCGCAAAATGTGGGAAGCGCGTCAGGATGCTTGTAGGCGCCCTCGGAAAACTGCACGTGAAAGAAAGCCTGGACAAAAAAGAGATTCAAAAGTGGATGCGGTTTTCGAGGGGCATCGGCCCCAGCCTCGCCAGGATTCACTTTCAGTTCGTCACAGGTTTTATAGAGCATCCTGCAGACGGAGACAGGAGTATCAGGAGTCCACACGAATGGAAGGCTGTGGGAAACGCACCTGAGAACAGATCGATGATCAGGGCCTCACGACGTTCGGCCCTACATTGTATACTTCGCCTGCTAGAAGCTTCCTGAGCTGGCAACGATCCAGCTGCAGAAAGTAGCGTGCACCCGGACAGTTGGCATTCATGAACTGCCTTGGTTCTGGGCAAGGGTGTCTTTCGAGATAGCTCCAAGGCATCTTGCAAGAAATGTACAGATCGTCCACCGGATGTTTGCCGCTAGCGCAACCTGGGTTTCGCAAGCGGACAAGTCTAGAGAAGTAGCCGTTGCGGTCTGGCCTTCGAAACGGACGCGATGCAAGCCTGACCTCAAGCTTCAAGAGGTTTAAGCGCCAGTCTGTTGGACTCGTGCGCCCATGCAAGCATTGACATTTTCATAGTTGTTGCTGTCAACAAAAACTCCACCGTCCCCCGAGCCATCGTCTGCTCGGGATCCTTGAGTAAACAGTCGACAGCAGCCTTGTGGGTGAGCATTCTGTCGTCTGGAAGCACAAGTCAGCAGAAGGTACCAAAGCAGAGGTCTTTCGCACCAGACTCTGTGACTGTGTGACCCGTGGCGGGAAATCCTTGTGCCTACAGTTTACAAACGCTCTCCCGCACTGTTACTCTGCTATCAGCAAACTCTGGACGCATGAGCTTTGCCGTTTTATGAAACAAACCGCGACTTCGACCGACATGACCCATATTGACCGATTGTCGGCTCTAGCATTCTTCATACAGAATCGTCAATGTTTGCAGTATGTGCAATTTGTGGCAGGTTTTCAGCATGGTGTGGGAAGCAATGGCCGAAGCTCTGCTTGAAGAAAGTGCGATTTGTGCCTTACAGTAGCAAGGCAGCGCAGTGTGGCTCATCCCCCGATTCCCCGTGCAGCGGGCTCGGCAAGCTGCTCTGCACTTACAGCTCAATTAAGGGTAAATCTGAGGCCTCGGGCCGCTCTCGCAAAAGCAAGCGCACGAAGCTCCTCATCCCAACCTGGAAGCTGCATGATTGCATGACGGGGAGTATGTTAAAAAGAGATGAGGTCTGAAGCTTGGCAGAAGGTTTACACTGAGAAGCCTTGACACGTTGTCGGCAAGCGCACAACCTGGTTAAAGCACGCCGAGGTACTGGTCCGATCGGATTGAAGGAGATATCGAGCGCCTCCAATGTCGCTCTCTACACTTACACCTCTCGGATGCGCCATGTGCAGCCTGTGCAGCGTTTGCAGTGCAGCTAAGGAGCAGTTAAATGTCGATTCTCGGACAGTAAATCCTCTCGTGCTTGGCGGCTTGGGCGGCTCTCCAACTCTTCAACTCTGCACTTCGCCTCTAGCACTAGGGCTGCCCGATAGTCGATGTGATTCAGCGAGATGTCCAGCTCTTTCAGCGGGCACCTTGCGAGTTCGTGGGGATGCGGCTGGTTCCTTGAACCCATGCTGAGTAGCCAGCGAACTGGACAAGTATTCCAAAAACGTTGCCGCCTTGGCGCTGTGTACGCTGGCTTCGTTGCATTCACTATAAGCTGCAAACTTGCATTTCCATCAACCCCTTTGGTTCCAGCTGGCTTGCCAATGTCTGAGGCTCCATGCGCCTGACGACACTCGCAAAGCTTGTGGACATTGCAGCTGCGGGCTCAAGGTGCTACACACTCTCTCTCTTTCCCTACAAGGGCAGAGGGAACAAGCGGACGCACGAACCCCCGCGAGCGCGAACGCGCACCTGCGAATCCTTGCAGGGTTTTGAAATTCCGCTTCGCCCCCAGTGGCTCGGCTTTACAAGGATCTGCCGGGGCATGAAAAAAGAACGCCACCATGATCCCCTTATGGCCACTCGAAACAAAATAACCAAGCAACACTGCATCCACCTCTCCCATGCCGGCCTTTTCTGGGAGTAAAAAGAAAAACGTGCGTCCCCCCACCGATTCGTGTGGGTTTATCATCGGTTTTGCATGGCTTGAGTGAATTGAATTAAAGCTTCTTGTCCCGCGAACGCTTTTTGGCTACTTCGCCGAAGGTGTGTTGAACAAAGCAGGGATTGAGGGCTGATATGAGCCCTATCTAGGAGTGGGTTTGCCTGACAAGAGTCAAGGATGAGTCCTAACCCGTTTAAAGAGTTCACATCTGGAAATCAAAATTACGAAAGAAGTGAAGAATGACCTGGAACGTGCAATGCCGGGGAAACTGCAAGCAAGTCCGATTAAAACAGGACACAGCCCCAAATCCGAACCAAACAACCCCGGCCCTCAACCCAAGCCAGTGGGCCAGAACCTTCCCCCGCACGAGAAAAGGCTTTTCCGGCTCACGCGCTTTCGTTTGACTTCAGTGCTCACTGCTTCGTGGCATGTGTTCCTGAATTCGCTGCGCATCTTCCATCGTTGGGCTATTTGGGCTGGTCCTCCTTTGTCGCACGCTTTGTCCGGAGAGGCGTGTATCCCGCGGGGCCATGGTGGTTGGCAGCCCCGATGCCCGTGCTTTCCCCGCCACCAATGTGGCCTTGGTGCCAAACATGTCCCTCCAAGCTGCAAGTCACCCCCAGCTTCTTAAATTTCTCAGCGAGAGCACCTTGGTCCTTTCGGGTCACGGATATGCAACCTGCTCGGGTCCAGGTTGTCCTCCTCGTCCTTCCCTCCCCGTCAGGGGTACTGCTTCTGCTGGCCGGCGATGACGTCGTGGTAGTCGTAGTACTTTTGGATCACTGAGAGTTCCACCAAAGAGGTGCATGTTCTCTCCCCTACTGACGGGCCACCTCCAAGGGGAGGGCCGTGGTCGGGATCGAGAGTCGCACAAAAACTCTCGGGGCCACTTGAAACAAGGAGCGGCGCGGGGGGAACTTGGGCACCGCTGGGCAAGATGCGAAGGCTTTTGTCATTTGTGGCGCGAACTCCCGGTTAACCCACAACCCCCAATGCAAAAAGGCGGCACCTCCTCGCTCTCGCTCGCGCTCGTTAAGTTTGCGTGTCCCACCTGTGATAAGTGGTTTGCCGACCTCGGTATGCTAAAAAACCATCATGCTCATGAGCACGGTCATCAGCTACTTGGTGTCAAGGATGCACCGACCTCGGCAGCGGTTCGTACCCGCGGTCGACAGTGAATGCCTATCTCCCGCCACTGCAACCGAGATTTTGCTGCGTGGTACTACTTCAGGAAACACGTCCAGCAGGGGCATTGTTCAGCTGCATGGCTTCTAGCGCAGCCCTCCGACAACAAGGGCAAGGACACCCAACCTCAGCTCCAGGCATCCCCCCCTCTTTGGGTGGGGGGGGG